CCCCACCCTCACCCCCGCCCAGGAAGAATGACTGACTGTCTCCTCTTCCATCACAAGCAAACATCTGCTTGTTTGCCACGACCTCCATTCCCTGTCCGGCTCTCCGGACTGACTGACAGAGTCTCTCTCCCCAGCGTGAGCAAGGCAGTCTTAGGGAAGGGTGACAGCTCTCAGCATGGCTCCAGGGTGAAGCTATCAGGGGAAAGAGATGGGTGTCCAGGTTGTGAGCCTAAAGAAGCACAAGCTTGCTAATGGTGAGCTGGGCCCTGAGAGGGGGTTGAGTGTCCCTTCTCCTGAGTCGGGCAAGCAAAAGCCACCTGGAAGGAACTGTGAGCTGACATTTGGAGGTTGGGTGGCCTGGCGTGTACTGACCACCCCTCCGACTCAAAGACAGGCGCACAGGGAGGTACTGGGAGGCCATTAGGCAGAAGAGGTGTATACACGTGGGAACATGCAATGATGAGATGTCCTCATGGTTAAAAAATTAAATTTAAATTTACAGATTAAAAAGAAGTATTATATAGTGTGCTCTTGTATGTCTATATATGTACATAGATAATACCTTGATAGATGCACAGTAGAATACTGACACAGATGATAGACGCCCTTCCTTCATCATGTATATATTTTTTCTAGTTTTTCTAAAAGACCACACCAACTATGAAAAATGTCTAAGTACACAGGACAAAAAGTTTCACAAGAATTCACACGTTTTCTGAACAAAGCACAGGGGATATATAGACTGTGAGGAGAGGAGCGAACTTATTTCAATAAACACCTCTGCCAGATGGAGACCACCACACCCTGCTCACCCGGACCCCTATGCTGGGCTCTGAACTTGTCCTCCCACCAGGGGCTGCATAGAGATTCTGGAGGGGTCGGCCTGTTCCAGCTCTGCCTGGAACTGGTGGCACCCATCACCCCAGGGGGACCACAGCACACATGTGCTCAGTCACCTGGACTTCAAAACTCTGTGAAGCAGTGGCATCCATCTCCCCATCTTATATATGGGGAAACCAAGGCAGAAAACAACAGAATACCCACCCTGGTAAGTGGCAGACCCTGCCTAATGAGCCCACATTCAGTGGAAGGACCCTACTGCCAGCCCTGCTGACACGGAACACTCACAGGCAGCAAGGCCAGCTCAGGACTGCTGCCTACCCTGGAGACCCCTCCTGTCCCCGGCCTGCCCTGTCTGTCGTGCCAGGAAACCCTGGTCCCCGTTCTCCCTGGTCCCACCCCCAGCACCCTCAGACACCTCATACGCACTTGGACAGTGTTCATCACCAGGCCAGCCGTCATCATGCCCAAGCCAGAAATCAGAATGGGCACCACGACCTGGCATGCGACAGTGAGGAAAGACTCAGGGAAGACCCCGTGGGGGGACCGAGTGAGCTCACAGCGGAAACCTCGCAGCTTCTTGCCCTGAAAGCAAAACTCCAAGTTCAGCTGGGTGACCACCATGCTCAGGCCATGCACCACATTCCCAGGAGCAGGAAGTCCTCTCTCTTCTCAGCCCACACCAGGACACGCTTGGAAGAAGTGCAGGCAAGCACAGGCTTCTCAGTTGCCAGGTGCAGCAGCCCTTCAGTTGAGGGCCGGCAAAAGGGAGGAACAAAGGCCAGTGTGGCTCAGGGTCTCACTCCAGAGACTCTGCCAGCCCCTGCTGTCCCCTCCCCAAAGGCCAGGCTCTCCTCAGAGTGGCTGTGTGTCAGCCAGGACCTCCCTCGGCTGGCCTGCCACAGAGGCTCACTGTCCCTCGGCACTGACCTTGACAGTGTCTGGCAGGCCTGCCCACACGAGCTCAGGCTGGACAGAAAGCCAGAGCCCACGTGCAACCTGGCCTTGGCGAGTGCCCACAGGGAGGTCTGCTGCCTCTCCCTGCACGTGTATCCTTGGGCTGCTCTGCTCTTGGCAGAGAAGAGCCTGGAGAGAGCTCAGCACAGAGAACCTACTTCCTCGGGCCAGCTCTGCAGGCCCCAAGGAGTCTTATTCCTCAAAGTCAAGTAGTCTGTGGGCCCCCAAAAGGAAGCCATACCTATTCAGTCACCTTGAATTCAGGGGCCAGGGGCTCCTGGCCACAGGAAGAAACTGCATCCACAGAAGAAATGTGGTCCCGTTCTCTCTTCAAGGCCTGGAAGACACGTACACGTGCTTCCAAAGTAGGTTCATTTTCTTCTGCTACAATAATCAGACCAGTCCTCCTGACCACCCCTGACCCAGGGGAGAAGGAACTGGGAAGCCACCAGGGAAGTCACCGGCAATTCTATTGTTCGGTGCGTCCCCTCTGCATTCCACAGGCACCAGGAACAAAATGTCCAGCCCCGAGAGTGGGCCAAAGCAGGACTCAAGGCCACAGCTGGCAGAAGCCCAGAGCTGACAGTCAGACTCACATCCACTGACCCCCAGGATACTCATCTGGTCTAGGCCTCACTTCTGCTCCTACTGTTAAATTACTGCCCTCTGGGACACCTTGCCTGGTTCTCCTCCATTGGACAGTCTATCCACACTCAAGTCCAAACCCCATAACCTGGAGTCCACAGCCCTCACCAGTCTGGATCCTACTGGCCTCCTTGTAACTATCCCCTTCCCCACAAACTCAAGCCAAACTTCCTCGCCTGTTCCCCTCAGGCCCCTCATCCTCCTCTCGCGGAATCTTTGTTTACACCCTTCATTCAATAGATGATTCTAAGCCCCTTACAGAGGTCAGACATCACGGGCCCTAAACTCCTTCGTACTCTTCCCACCGAGGGTTGGAGTTTCTGTCCTTTCCCTTCGCTCTGTGACTGGTGGCTTGACCAGCTCTATGTCAGTCCACTTCGGGGCCTGGATCTTAAGAAACTGCCAGCTTCTGGCCAGGCATGGTGGCTCAGCCTGTAATCCCAGCACTTTGGGAGGATGAGGCAAGTGGATTGCCTGAGCCCACGGGTTCAAAACCAGCCCAGGCAACTTGACAAGACCTCGTCTCTACAATAAATCAAAAAAATTAGCCGGGCATGGTAACGCACACCTATGGTTCCAGCTACTTGGAAGCCTGAGGCGGAAGTATCGCCAGAGCCCAGCAGATCGACACTGGGTAGCCGTAAGCGTGCCACTGAACTCGAGTCTGGACAATGGAGTGAGACTTTGACTCAAAAAAGAAAAAGAAAAAAGAAAAAGAAACAGTCAGCTTCCAAATCCTATCTCTTGGGAGGTTCACGCTCAAAACCCAGCTACCCTACTGTGAGGAGACCAAGTGGTCACCTGGAGAGGCCACATGTTGGAGGTCCAGCCAAGAGCCCAGCTGAAGTTCCAGGTAACACCCAGCGGCATTTGCCAGTCATGTGCATTCACTGTTTGGGGCTGGGCCCACACCTAGAAAGCCCAGCAGTTGCTGCACAGGGCAGGTGGCTGTCCTCCTCACTGAGCCCTGCCCAGCCTACAGATTTGTGGTCAAACTGAACCACTAAGTTTTGGTGTGCTTGGTCACATAGTGGTAGATAACTGGAACATTTGGGGAGCCTCATCCTCACCCTTGATTTTGCTTATCTCAGATGTACCAACAATTGTCAAATCTTTCTAGCCTAGACCTCCCCCCTGAGCTCTCGGGCCATATACCTAAGCCCCTCATAGGGAGGGACCAGTGCCTCAACTCAGGCAGTCGTTTCCTCGTGATTGTTTCCTCCTAACCTGCCTCTCCCATGCTGTCTGCCTCGAAAAAGGTTCTCCCAGAAACACAAGCCTTACTCTGACCCCAACCACCTCAGCCCCACATCCCATCCACCTGTCCCCACTCACTCCCATGGCTGTTCCCTCCACTCTGGCCTCCAGACACTGCCTTGTGACACTTATGACCCCAGCCCTTCTCTTGCCAGAACCAGTGTACATGTCCCGCGTGCACAACCCACACACACACTCTGCGGATGGCCCTCGCCTGACTGTCCTCGACAGCAGGCGGCTCACTGCCCGCAAAGAGGCATCCAGGGCCCTTTATGATTCGGGAAGACGTGGCCGTCTCAGCCTTCTCTCTTTATCGTATGCAGTCATACATAGTCACAGAAGGAACTTCTCCCGGACGCTCACGTGGGCCATGCCTGTGTTCCTCCCCTCCTCTGTCGGCCAGCACATCGCCCGGGCTAAACTTCGACTAGGTTTCATGGTCGACTGAAGTTTCTCCTCATCTCTGAGACCTCGTCTCTGGACTTCCCAGCCAGAGGAGAACAACTGTCTTCCCAGAATTTCCAACGTACTTTCTCTGAAAGAAGGCCCCACATTTGCCTCACAGAAGCATGAGCTACAGGTGGATGTGCCCTCTCTTCCTGGAGTGTGTGCCTCCTGAGAATGGAGCCCGCCTTACTCTCTGCTGCAATCTCAAAAGCAGGGGGCATTATGAAGACTCTGCTCCACAAAGTAGTGCTTAGGGCCTGATATCGTCCAGCTGCTGGTCTAAATGCCAGGGTACATCTGCGAGCCAAAAAGACATGTTTGCATTTTCCAGTTTAGCAAATAGTCACAAAAGTAAAAATGTAACGATGATCTTTGCTACATGTTCTGAAGAAAAGCCAAGGGATGACAAGCTCACAGAAGGTGCAACTACATGCAAGCACTCCGTAACCTGCAAGTGAACGAAGGATCTGTTGCTCCCTTTGTGCAGCCACCTGTATTTCTCAAAGCCCTTTCACGTGCAATCCACCCCTGGACTCTCAAAACACACCTGGGATGTTCACACAGGTACAGCATTCCGTTTTTGCAAATGAGAACACAAAGGCCCTGAGAGGGTATTCCCAAGATCACACCATGAGTTGGTATCAGAGGAGGCCTAAGACCTGCACCTCTGACTCTCCACCCACTCCCGCTCCTGCCTGCCAAAGCTGCCACTGCCGGTCATCCATGGTTAGGATCATTTTGCTCAAACAGAATGCTGAAACATTAGGAGGCTCAGAGAAACAGTATGTTTCTGAGAAAAGCATTGCAGATATTAACTGGTTCAAGGGGATTCGCCGGCTAAAGACAGAAGCCCACTAGGCTGGCTCAGTTTCTCTGGCTGTTCAGCACTGATAGCAAGACGCCCATTCCCGAGGCACACAGCTGAGCAGCTGCCAGACAAATGGCGACAGAGCGAGGCCCTGACTCAAAAATAAATAAATACACTACAATACAATAAACCGTCACCAGAAGCAAATAAAAGAATGTAATCATATGAGAAAAATGACTTTCCTACAAAACTTGAGAACAAAACATGTCAACACAGCTCACTGGGTCATAATCCAGAAAATAAAAAATGTGATCTTAAAAACAGTTCAGTAGCACAGCAGAATATTCCCCAAGAAAGAGCTTGAACTGGATGCCAGGCTACACTGAGCAGCAGGCAGACTCTAGGTCCCCATCAGGCGGCTTCCAAGTGACTCTAAACTAGTCTCCTCTCTGGTCCTCCAGCCCACCCCACAGCCGGAGACACGAGCGGGTGGGAGGAGACACTGGTGTTCAGCCCACCCAAGGAGCACCCGAAGCGCTTCTGCAACAGGCAGTCTAGGTCCCAGCACAGACACAGGAACAGCACCAAGGGCTGGGGCCTGGGCATCAGGACCACTGATGTCTTCCCATCCCCTAGTTCTTACCGGGAGTGGTGTGTCTTCTGGGGAGGGTCCATGGAGAGCAGGCGGGGGGCTCTGGAATGAACACCACCCTTCCTAGCTTTCATTTCTGACTCTGCAGTGGGAAGCGTTCATGTTCCTGGGAGCAGTTTCCAGACACAGTGTCCGATTCTTTTCTCAGGGTCACCTTCAGTCTGGGCAGCTTCTGAGTCAGAGGGTCATTCTTAAGAGCATGGATTCTTCTCCTGTCTTGTTCATGTCTCGGGGATCAGGCCAGCTAAATTTTAAGTAACTGTTAAGGTTCTTCTTTACTTCCTGCCTCTGACCTTGACTGGCAGAACCCACCCGCAGGTAAAGACAAAGGCACGAGTGCCCTTGTCCAGTCCCACCAGGCTGGCCAGCACCTGCAGTCTCTCCAAGCAGCCCCTTCGGCCACTCAGGCTTGCAGCACCTCTTCCTCGGCCCCCCTCTGAAGGGTCACTCCCACCACACACTGAGGCCTCACTGCTATCGACCCTCACTGCTATCAACAATGACTCCTGTACCTGCTATCTGGCTCACCCTTCTAGGGAGAGCCAACGAGCCAGGGCCTGTCTGCCCAGACCACAGCATACACAGTGTATGTTGCCTGAATGAGTGAGTGCGTGAATGAATGAATGGATGATGGACAAGTAAACAGAAATAAGATGAAAAGGAAACCAAGTTTGCCTTCTACTGGTGGAGGGGTGTGAGGCTGAAAACGACTACCATGACAGGCTGCCACAATGTCTGGTAGTCAGGAGGGCCTTGGACAGCCCCTCCCCAAATTCCCTCCCAACTTGTTCCTGCAGGTAAGGTTCCCAGAATGCTCCTAACCCCAGGGCAGACACTGACCCTCCTTATCCCAGAGTTGCAGGCTTCAGTTCCTGCAACCCTGTGGAATTACACAAACCAGCAGGAACAGGGGATCCTCGCCCTCTTGCTGTAACAAAGCCTGCCCCCACAGCCCCAGCTGGCTCGCTCTGCTCCCATACAGCCCTGTGAGGCATGCAGTGTCCCCATTTCCAGGCTGTGAGTACGTGGGACTAACAAACTGCTGTGGCCCTCACCTCCACCATCCCCAGAACCCTGGAGCGGGACACCCTGCCCCATCAAGGCGGTGAGGGGAAGGCAATCCTAGCAAGCAGGCCTCACCAACTCCTGCGCCCCCCACAGTCTTCTCTCTGTGCCCACAGAGAACTCCCCTCCCGCCAACCTGCTTGCCTCCTGGACTTTCCAGCCTGCCCCATGTCTTTGTAAGGCCATGACTGCTGCCTGAAGATTAGCTGTTCTTCACAGCATGTGCACATAATGATCATCCCACCCCACCTTCATGGAGCCCAAGACCTGCCCATGGCCCTGCTTCTGATTTTCTGGAGACTGCTGGCATTCCTGCCTGCTCCATGCATTCCATTTTTAGTCCAGTAATTTTGTTGGACTAAAAAAAGGAGATGGGCTGGGCATGAGGCTCACACCTGTAACTGCAGTGCTTTGGGAGGCCAAAGCCAGAAGATTGTTTGAGCCCGAGAGTTCAAGACCAGCCTAGGTAACATAGCAAGACCTTGGGTCACCACAAAAAAAAGTCAAGAAATCAGCTGGGCATGGGAGTGTGTACCTGTAATCCCAGCTACTCAGGAAGCTGAGGCAGGAAGATCACTTGCGCCCAGAAGATCAAGGCTGAGGTGAGCCATAAGCATGCCACTGCACTCCAGCCTGGGCAACAAAATGAGGACCCAACTAAAAAAAAAGCGGGGGGAGGGAGATGAACTTGCATAAGCCTGGCCAAATCAGGTAAGCCCTCCAAAGGGATAGTTTCTTCAAGTCAAAGATGGAAGCATGGGAGGGATTCCACACAAGGGAGATTTCTCCCCTGCCTTTGGAGATAAAGGGGGCTCATGGGAAGAAATAGGAGCAGCCTCCAGAGGCTAAGGGGAGCCTCCAGAGGCTAAGAAATAGGAGCAGCCTCCCTGGCTGACAGCCAGAAAAAAACATCCTGCAACCACAAGGAATACCACAAAGAGGGAAATTATGATGACAAGAATAAGCTTAGAAGTGGATCTTGGCTGGATGCAGTGGCTTGAGCCTGTCATCCCAGCACTTTAGGAGGCCAAGGTGAGAGGACTTTGTGAACCCAGGGGTTCGAGACCAGCCTGTGCAACTTGGTGAGACCTCATCTCTACAATTAATCAAGAAAAACTAGCCGGGTATGGTGGTACATACCTATAGTTTCAGCTACTTGGAAGGCTGAGGCAGAAGCGGGTCGAGGCTGTGGTGGCTGTGAGTGTGCCACTGACTACCAGCCTGAGCGAGAGAGTGAGACTCCAACTCAAAAAAAAAAAAACGGAGAACTCAGGCTGGCCACCACCTGCATTTTAGCCTTTGAGACCCTGAGCAAAGACCCCAGACATACTATGCCTGCACTTCTAACTTACAGAACTGTGAGGTAATTATTGGGTACTATTTTAAACTGCTAAATTTGTGGTAACTTGTTATACAGCAATAGAAAACTGATACAGGTACCAAGTGTTTCCAAATCTGATTTTTTAAAGAGGAACTGAACATACAGACTTCTAATGAAAAGCTTCCATTTTTTAAATGTTTGCAACAAACTGAGCATTAAGCAACCCAACAAATCACTCTGCAGACCAATACAACATCTGTGGGCATCCACTTTGAACCCATGATGAATGCAATGTTGAGGGAGCAGACTCGCGGCAGAGTGGAGTTTTTTCTTCCTCATGTGCAGGCATGTCAAGAAAAGCGGATGGGGACCTGTGTAGGAGGCAGCTTCTGTTTCTAAGGAGGACACAGGCTCAGAGCCTTTTTAAAAAGATGAATCTGACCACATAAAAAAAAATACACAGCAAAAAGCCACCAAAAGCAAAGTCAAAAGATAAATGAAAAAACTGGAAGCATATTTATAATTCATAGCACAATTAAAGGGTCAATTTCCCTTATATATAAGGAGCAACCACTTCATAGAAATATGGGCAAAGAATAGAAACAGAAATATCAAAGATACCCAACCTTTCTCACTCGGAACAAGAAATGCATATCACACTAGAATAGACATGGTAGCCCACAGCCCTCAACACAGCCACCACGACCCTGTCACATGGTACTGATGCCTTTGGGTCATCACCCGGTCTGGAATGTGGGTTGAACCCAGTGACCCACTCTAATCAAAAGAAGCCAAAGGATGCTGTTTCTGGGATTTGGTTACAAAAGACAGTGATTTGTCTTACTAGCAGACTCTAACTTCTTCTCAGACTTCACACTCTGCTGAAGCGGATGCCATGCTGAAGACACCCACTTGAGGAGGAACTGAGGGAACACCCGCAAAGAACTGAGGCCCCCTGGTCCAACATTGGTCAGAAGTGTGACCTTGTCAGTGAGCTTGGTCGACACCTACAGCCTCAGGACAGATCCAGAAGCAGAAAACCCCATGAAACCACACCTAGATTCTTAACCCATAGCAACCATGAGATAATAAGCGTGTGCTATTAAATTAAGCTGCGATGTTTTAGGATAACTTATTAGGTGCCAAGATACTAATACAATGAAATGCAATTTTCCATCTGGTTGATGGTTATCGATCAAAAAAAGTTTCAAAATAAACTGTGGTGATAAGTGTTGAGGAACAAGCATTCCCCTGAGGTGGAAGTGCAATGGTCCCACCATGCAGCAGGCAGTTTGGCGATGCCTATCAAAGTCACAAATGCGTGTACTCTTTGATCCAACAATTCTACTTGCAACAACTTTCCTACTCATTTGTTCAGAAATGTATAAAATTCTCAAGATCATTCACTGCAGCATTTGTTAGTGATATTATTTAAGTTCATGGGCTGAATTGTGTTACCATAAAACTGTATATGCTGAAGTTCTAACACCCAGCACCTCAGAACATGACTGTTTCTGGAGACAGGGTCTTTAAGAGGTAATTAACTTAAAATGAAGTCATTAAGGGTGGTCCTGATCTAGTATGTCTTGTGTTTCTATTAGAAAGGCAGATTAGGACACAGACACACACACACAGGGAAGACTAGGCAAAGACGGTCACAAGCCAGAAAGACCTCAGAGGGAACCATGCAAGCCTCCAGAACTATAAGAAAATACGTTTCTATTGTTTAAGTCTCCCAGTCTATAGTACTTTGTTATGGCAATCCTAGCTAGTTTATTTAACCTAGGGAAATGGTTAAATAAACATTAGTATATCGATACAATGAGATTACACCATGTCTAAAATCCTTAAGTCCAATTCTAGATATTTCAGTTATACGAGTTAATGACAAATTGTCTTTTAAAGGTTGAATTTAGTCTCTGTCACCAGAAACTAAAATAATCTTGCCCGATATACAGAAAAAATGGCATGTGAGGATGTGAGACCTACCACAGATCCTTTAGACTGAACATAACGTTCATACCTACTCTTTAAGTGACACTAGATACTGCCCCCTCCCCCATCTCCATTTAGTGCCCTCTTACCTGGAAATAGTGCAGAAGCACACCAGCCCAGGACAGCCCCAGGCCTGCAAACATGAAGGGCACAGTCACCTGAAGACCAATCGACAAGGCAGTTTCCCTGCTGGGTTCAGTCTCCAGTGGTTTGGGGGTCACTCTTTGGCTGTCAGAAATGCTCAGAGGTCCACCTTCTGAAGCTACAGTGAGTTCTTCTGTGCTGAGGGAGTGTGGTGGCCGCAGCTTCCCTGGCCTGCCACAGCCGTCTGGCCTCCGCTGTCGGGTCTCTGTCCCATCCATCTGGGCACAGCTGAGTGCCTGGCAGCCCTAATCTAGGAGACACAAAGCAACAGGAGCTGTAGGGAGGAGTTCCTGGCCCCTAGGGGACCAACACCCTAGGACCACTCAGGTCCTCTGTCCAGCCCATGGTTGGCATCATCCCATCCAATCCACAGCCCTTCACTCAGTGCTTGTGTGGCAGAGAGGGGCTAAAAACAGTTAAAATGATTCCTTTTTAAAAAACAACCTGCAAGCTCCAAACCTGCTAGACATGGGATATGAGAAAACCAAATAGCCACAAGCCGCTTTCCTGTAAGTGCAAGATAGTAATCGATTCACAACCTTATCCCCCCATTCTCTCTTCGTAAAATTATTAGTTTACAACCCAACCCCTGCTTGTCATGTATATCCTGGAGACAATCTGTTCTTTGAAAATCTGGTTTTGCTAAATACAACCTTACAAATTCCAAAAAAAAATGTATAGCCATACAACCTGACCCTCTCCCTTACCTAAACTAACAGATAAAACCCCTCTCCTCTTTCTTGGGGTTGCTCAGCCTTGGAGCATTAGCCTGCTGAGTTGTGCCACCACTAATAAAACACTGCTTCCTAAGACAGCCTCGGTGTCATGGTCTCTGTTTTCCTGCAACACTTGCTCCACTGACCTCCTGCAACCCAAAATTCCAATCATTTGGTGTTTAATACGCATGGATAAGAAGAAAGCATACATACAGAAGCGAGTAGTAAACATACACGAATTGAAATCAGCAATAAAGGGCTTCTGAAAATCCTTTCCTCCATAAAAATAAGAAAAAAAAACAGCAAAAACTATGAGAATCCATTTTTTCAGAACTCTAGAAATTAACCAAAGATCTTCAGCAACCCAGGGAGTATCTATTTAAGAAAAACTGCTCAATCTAAACAAGAACTGCCAAATTTTAACATGCATGAGGTCAGTGACATTCTAACTTGTTTCAGTCTCACTGCCTACTCTCCAACCTCGCAAACTAACAGCCCATCGCAAACTTGGTATCCACCAGCAGTCCAGAGGGCATAGAATGGGGCTGTAGTTCTTTCAAATACCCTTTCCCAAGTATTATTATTTGACACATCTGGAGTCTCCTGAAAGACCTGACTTGTAGAGCTATCCATAATTCACCCCATGTGGAGATCATAAGCACAAAAACCCTTTGCCCTGGGGGAAGTTATTTGAAAACAATTATAGACACAGTAGGTTAGCAGCTGTGGTAAATAAGAAACTAACAAAAATGCTTAAATGAAAAAGCTGGGGAATGAGATGTCAATGAGGCTTTTGAAATGTAATCCTGCGCCTTTGGGAGGCTGAGGTGAGTGGATTGCCTGAGCCCGTAGGTTTGAAACCCGCCTGGGCAACTTGGCGAGACTTCATCTCTACAATAAATCAAAAAATTAGCCGGGCATGGTAGCGCGCACCTGTAGTTCCCGCTACTGGAAGGCTGAGGCAGAAGGATCGCCGGAGCCCAGCAGGTCGAGGCTGCAGTGGCCGGAAGCGGCCACTGCACTCCAGTCTGGGCAACAGAGTGAGACTCCAACTCAAAAAAAAAAAAAGAAAGAAAATTTCTCCCACACCTGGGCATCTAAAAGGCCACCCACGGATTGTGCTCATTCTCAGGACCCGGCACACGCTCAGGAAACGTCTAGGAAGGCTGCATGCTTTCATCTTCCTGGAGGCTTTGTACAAGCAGGAGGTGAAAGCTAAGGAAGAGCCCTCAAGTGCCTGACTGAATGTCAAGGGTGTGCCCAAACACGCACACAAAGCACCCTAGTAAAGTCTGGGAGATGTACTGCTTCTCAGCATAGAGGTCAAGGAAATCTATCCTCAATCATTAGCTGACCACGAAGCAGAAATTTCAGGGGCTACATACAACAAAGATTGGGGTATGCTTGCAGAATTTATTCAGAAAGATCGCTAAACAAACAATAACAACAAGCATCAACAACAAACCCTGGGAAGAGGGAAGAATCTGATCACCAAAGTTGCCATGTGATTCAGTTTTCAAAAAAATATATGAGGCATGCAAAGAAATAATAAAGGACGGCCATAAACAGGAAAAAGTAATTAATAGAGACTATCCCTGAGTAAGTCCAGATATTGAACTAATTAGACAAAAACTTTGAACTATTTTAAATATGTTCAAAGAACTTAAGGAATCATGTCTAAAGAACTAAATTAAAATGAAGCCATTAGGGTGGTCCTAAGCCAAAATGACTGGTGTTCTTATAATAAAGGGAGATTAGGACACTGTGTAATCAAATATGTAATCTAAATATGAAGACAAAAATTATTTTTAATCAAATTCACAATATAAGCATGGAGATAAAAATTATTCTGTAAAATTACCAAATAGAAATTCCAGAGTTGTAAAATACAACAACTGGAATGTAAAATTTGTTAGCTAAGCTAAGAGCTGATCTGAGCAGGAAGAATATAAAGAATCACTGAACTGACAGATAAATCAAGAGAGATTATTCAGTCTTGATACAGAGACCCACTAATATCTGTCCATATTGCCATAGCCCCTAGAGAAGGGCAATGCAAGGGTTCAAGCGCTCCTGCACATCCCTGGGCACATCACTGAGAGTCCCCTTATCTTCTATGTACTCCCTGCAGACTACGCCCAAAGATATAAATCCCTATTCACTCTCTTTCTTAATAGTCACAGGTTTGAACAATATAGTATCAGTGTAATTGTAAATCTTGTGATTTGCATAATTTCCGCAATGCATGATGTCTCTGGCCTTGTAAACTTCTTTACTCTAAATGTCACTATCTAAATGTAAAACGCAGCTGTAACTTAAGTTCTATACAATGCTCTGCTGGTCACAGGGCTAATGTATAGATACCAACAACTCTGGACTGTAAATGTGAACTGCAAGGCCTGAAGGGTAGGCAGAACTATTTTAGAAAGACCTCAAGTCCACCTCTGCTCCCTGGATTCGAATTCAGAAATAAACTTCTTTCTACCAGTTCCCTGCCCCTTTGATTTATCCATAGTAAGGGGGAGCAGCTGAGCATTACTTGGACCAATACAGTCTGAAGGACAGAAATGAAAAAGAAAAAAGAAAAATGAGCAGGGCCTCAAAGAACTTGATAGAATATCAAGTATACCAAATGAACACAATGGAATGTTCCTAGAAAATTAGGAGAAAGAAAATGGGGTAAAAAGATTAGCTGAAGAAATTATGGGCAAACACTTTCCTAATTTGACGAAAACACTACCTTCCATATCCAAAAAGTTTAACAAATTCCAAGTGAGATAAACAAATAAATCATACCAAAAAACCAGGAAGAACTCAGTAAATCATGCACAAGGGATCCTCTGTGAAAGAACAGACTGAGAGCAGGAAGCCATTTTTTATCTTATTCTTAAACCCTAACATAATGATGGGAAAGTGGAGGCTATGTCCTGGAAAAATGCATTTTTTTATCTTGTTTCTAAACCCTAACACAGTGATGAGAAAGTAGAAGCTGTTTTGGAGAAATGCATATTTTAGGTAATGATTAACTCTGCCAACTTTGTCTTTTCAGAAACACAGACTCCTTAAGCATGACCAGTATCTACCCGTTGGATATTCAGTGCATGGTGACCAGGAACCCCTCAGGATTTTCTGTCCAGACTTCCTGGTGTTGGGCTTCGGAGGTGTCTCATAGCTTTTTGGGGACCTGGCAGAAGTGGCAATCAAGATTGCCTCGAGTAAAGGGAGCTTACAAGGCCTAAGGCATCATGCATTAGGCAAAAGTTATGCAAATCATAAAACTTGTGATTACAAAAGCTATGCAGATCGCAGGACTGCCCACTGGGAATGCATTGGAGATAAGGGGAAATGCACCCTCCATTAGCTTTAAGAAATGTTATTCAGGAATGTACAGGAGCACTGGGATCCTTATCGCACCCTTCTCTAGGTACTGTGATAATGCGGTCGGACATTAGTGGGTCTCTGTGTCACAGGGTCTCCAAGACATTCGCAGATGGTCATTAAGGAAGTCATGGCAGTCATGCCTACCTGACTGCAACACCTCCAAGGGAAAGGATTTAAGACAGGGCTCAGGAGGCTATGGGCCACACTCATCTACAGTGTAGGCCCACTTCCTGTCTGTGGGAAGTGAACCTTTCTTAAATAAATCTTTTCTTCTTTCACCTTTTTGTGTGTTGCAATTCTTTGCATTACTCGGATCTCTGGTTGGCAGCACACACCTCCAGCACACCGCCTCTGGTGGTGCTGTGCCCCTCTCCATCCATCCATTCACCCTCACCCTACTCATACCCTAACACTCTATAAAATTAACAGCGTATTTTATTCAGAAACCAGAGACCAGAAGGCACAGAGATGACATTCAAAGCACTGAAAGAACAAAACTGTCAACCAAGAATTCTATAACCAGCAAAATTATTCTTCAAAAATAAGGGAAATGAACGGGCTTGGTGGCTCAGCCTGTAATCCCAGCACTTTGGGAGGCCAAGGCGAGTGGATTGCCTGAGCCCGTGGGTTTGAGACCAGCCCGGGCAACTTGGCGAGACCTCATCACTGCAATAAATCAAAAACTAGCCAGGCATGGTAGTGCACGCCTGTAGTTCCAGCTACTTGGAAGGCTGAGGTGGAAGGATCGCCGGAGCCCAGCAGGTCGAGGCTACGGTGGCCAGGAGCGTGCCACTGCACTCCAGCCTGGATGACAGAGTGAGACTCCAACTCAAAAAAAAGGGAGAAATTAAGAGATTTTCAACTAAATAGACATGGAGAGAATTTGTCACAAGCACACCTTCTCCACAGGAAACACTAAAGGAAGTCTTTCAGGCTAAAATGAAAGGTCCCAGACAGTAGCTTTAATCCACTTGAAGAAATGAAGAACATCAGTGAAGGTAATTACATAGACAATTTTTTTAATATACACATATTTTTATTAGTTAACATTTTTCATCTTATCTTATTTAAAGACAACTACAGGCCAGGCTCGGTGACTTAGCCTGTAATCCCAGCACTTTGGAAGGCTGAGGGGAGTGGACT